TGTTACAAAATTTACTATTTAGAGACCAGCTATAGCTTCATTTGTATTATTTACATTGAGTGATAGAGCTAAAGAGCTATATCACACGGAATAATATCTTAATATTTAACTTTTATTTTTGTTACCTTTCTCGGTACATATATCGTCGAATAGTAAATGTTATAACAAAATACGTAAAATATAAGTTCGTGATTTTGCATCTGTTTGGTAAGTTTTATTGGGATGAATTAACGGGAAGTGGATTAACATCCCCGAGCGAGCCACCCTTAAAGTTACAATATTTTCTTAAAATTTCAATGGGTATTGGGGTATTTTGAATGGGTATAGTCAGGCACCCTCTTTGTAGCAAAAAAGAATCATGCAAATCGGTTCACAAAATGTCAGAGCAATCGCGTAACATTGACATAAAAAAATACAGTCGAACCTACTTTTTTTGAAACCGCTTAAAAAGGAAAACAGTTTCACAGCTCTGTAATAGTTCACGTGGAAATCAAAAGAAAACAATAGTAAAGTGTGTTGTGTTCAATTCAAATAATTATAGATTATAAATCTAATAAATTACTTCACACGAAAATTTGTATTCGGCTGCATTCGGAAATCCTTAACATTGCCGAAAGACGTTAAGCTAATAAACTTTGTTCCACTATTTTACGAATTTGACACAGTTGTTTCACATTCAAAACTACTTTATATAGTTTTTCATCAGAACAATAGGAGATAGTTTTAATGGAATATTAATAATATTAATAGTTATAATTTTTCGGAATACCGTGTTAAACGGGCTGCGATAATTAAAATAACCACGAATAATTGCAATTGAGTACGTCGTCATAATCACTATCAAGCAATAATCATCAACATTTAATCACAGATCTATCAAAGTCATCAAACTTGCCTCACCACGTTTCATATCGATCGGCAGAGTCCAAACTGCCTGCGGCAAACATTTTTGTTGCAATGTAACGTGCACTTAATATAGCCTAATGGAAACCTCCGCGTAGCCGCGTACGTCTATCGAAATCAATTTGCACGCCGCTCATACTTACTACAACCTTCACAGCCATCATTTAAAATCATACGAGTACAGTAAACCATAGCTGTATTTCAAATAACTACACATTTACAATTTATTCCTGTTCGTACAAGTTAACAAGATGTAATATAATACGGTACGTATTTCCCGTGTTATTAAGGATTTGTTTATATTTGTGTACACGACTTGGTCGAACATATTAATTATTCGGCAAATAATTTGAAACACTTACATTAAACTGTACATGACCAGTATATCATGTCGGGTGAATAGGGTTTTATGAAATCTAACCTAATTAGTTCTAATAAAACTTTATTTTCATTTCTCTAGAATGTTCAGCTACCGAAACTCCCCGTGCCGGATCTCCAGGCGACTCTAGACTCTTACTTAGACTTCGCGTCAGTGATCGTTGGTCCGCAACAGCTGGACACTACCAAGGCGCTGGTGCGCAGCTTTTCGGAGGAACTCGGCCCGCGGCTGCAGGAGGTGCTGCAGGATAGGCAAGATAAGATGGACAATTGGGTAAGACAATAGAAAGATTTCCTGAAAAAAAAACAATGTTTCGTCAGATAATGTTTGATTAGGTAATCTTATTGTCTTACTTTCCATTTCTCATCATTAAAAAATATGCAATTACGTATACTTACTTGAATGCGTATTTAATATTCAATATTGCTGTTTACACTCGTTGGGCTTCACAATAAGCATTATGAATTCAGACAATTTAGGTGTGAAATTGTGATTATTACAAAAAACAATGATAATGAAAACTTTGAAAACATAAACATTCCATCTGCAGGAGCAAGTACGCATAGCACGGTAGTCAGTCGCCTCTAATGCGTTGCACTGTACGTCGATTAGACGCAGCTTTTAATCACGTCAGAAGAAAATTAAAAAGGTGTTTATATGAATTGTATTTCCTTCTCGAATTTCTGTTACGCCAATAACCGTGTCATTACGTTTAGTGTTTCAAAAACTCCAAACTTGGCACAACTTCCTTTGAGCCTTATCGACGAGGAGCGCGTGACGTTGAAAAACAACGGAGTTTATTGTTAGCATGCAATCGTTTATTGTTCTCTCACTTTGGCAGCACCCGCCGCGAAAACAGCAAATATGCGCGCTAAACATAAAGTACTCGGTCTAAAATGAAAATCAACGCAGTGTGTCTGGCAGCGTGTGTGTTGGCATCAGTCGCGCCAGCCGCCGTCGCGGACCAGCACCTCGTAGACAGTCCAGTGCTCAAGAAAATACTGAAAACGGTAGACGAGGCACCCACAGACGAACACTTGCTGGACGTGACTTTGAGACTTTTAAAGGGTATTTGTGAATGCATGACAGAGACATTACTAGTGAAACAAGAACGAATCAGCCATGCCACATCTTATACGACTGAGACGGACCGCGGAACAGCGCAAAATACCACCTGGAAGGAGCTCGATCTCTACCAGAAAATTTATAACAACACATGTTTCAGTTTACGAAATGAGTTAGCTGTTAAAGTAGATGTAGACCATTTAGAGAGAACGAAGAATGAAAACGGTACGCAATCGTTTGTCAAGACGTGGAAATGCGGTAAACAACATGAAATTACCACAGAACGCATCGTCATGGCGAGTACCAGCATGTCCCCATTACTGGATGATAGTTTGAGGTCACAGTTGGACAATATCTTATTTAAAATTCTTATAGTAACAAAAGACTACCATACGTACAAGCTAAGGAGACACAATTTATTTGGTAGACATATACCAGTTACGCGTAATAAGAAAAAGCACTCCATCATCGTGATAGTCACTTTGCATCCGGGGCAAATTATGACACGTAATAGAAAAATGCCCAGTGAAAACATTGGTTCATTATCAGAAACAAATAGGGACAAACTTGATGAAATTGAATTAAATCGAACTATTTACTCTAAATCTGTTGTTGACATTGATATTTTCGATACAGATTTTAATCTCACGGAGAAAGAAAGTGACGGGAATAACAAAAATGTAGTATCTAAATGTGTCCTTCTTTCCATTTACAAATTTCTTACTGAAAGTGAAATTAATAATCATACGAAGGTGTTCAAACTACTACGTAGAAAAAAATCTATTAAAATTTATATAGAGGTCATGATGTCACAAGGGGATGGTAACTACAGTGGAATGTGTTGTGATGGCGACGCAATCACATCGTCTTGTACGCAACAGTATATAGCAAAACATTTGGACATAGATAAAGCGCAAGACAACGATCAGAACATGCTAAAAGTAAAACCAATACCGAAAATCGAAGAAAAAAATAGTGATTACAAGGATACAATTGCCAACATAAAAAACCTTTTAAAATTATATGACAGCGAGTTACAAAAAAGCACATATTATGGGAAACGAGTGGTTGTTGATAACAAACTGGAAGGTCCAAAACACGGCAGTCACGTTGGCGGTGACGCACGCGTGAGTGTTATCGATATATTTGCAAAACATAGAAGCGTCGCTGACCACGTAACTGAACCGATAAATCTTAATAAAGTGGAATTTGCCACTCAATTATTTTCAACGACAGCACCGACAGCTATTCAAAATATTTACACTTTTAAAGGTTTTTATGATGATGAACTATGGGATAATACCATACCTCAAGAAACAAAAACGATTGGCTCTAAAATCAGTTTTATTAAAGACGATGACGTAAATAAATTTCAAAAATCAGTTCCAACAAAATCCAACAATCACTTTTTAAACGTGAAGAAGAAATCCCCGAATAAAGAATATCTTGGGAATACTATTAAAAAAGAACATGTGTTACCTAAAGTGCGTACTACAAGAAGTACTGCAATTAAAGAAATACAAAATGATACAACCTTTGAAACTGAAAAACTCTCTAACATGATGGTAAATCACGAGTCAACAGATCAGATTTATCAAACATTGAATTCTTACGCCGTCATACCCTTAAATGACAGTTTAAAACAAACTATAGATACACAAACAAGCACTGAACATTCAAAAGACAATAAAGGTTCAAAAATAGATTATTTTCAAGAAGACAGTTATTTGTATGAAACAACGAAAAACCAATATCAAGAAAACATTGGCAATTCGGAAACGCGTTTTCAAAAGTCAAATAAAAATGTCATGCCTACTAATAAGAATCTAAACGATAAAATTAATACAATTACGCCAATTATTAATAATCATAAACTTATCAGCAAGGTACGGTTAGATTTAGAAACAGAAACTGAAAATGTTTTTAAGATTCCCAGAGATCATAAAACAACATTTGATTTTGTCGAATCATTGACAGAGGATAACAAGAGAATAACTAAAACACATACGATAAGTACTCAACAAAAAAATGCTGACCGTAATAGTAACTATTTATCACGAATTATAGACACTTCAAGCATGAAACAAAATTACGATAACGAACAAATATACGAGACTACGAAAAATTATAATGATGAAACCTCAACGGAAGTTAATTATGACAACACTGTTCACAATTCACAAGAAGATATATATTCTAGTGAGAAATATAAGCATGCAATCATAAATTCAATTATAGAAAGTATCCATCCACAACAGTTCATCGATTATAAAAATACTGGGGACTCTAACATGGACAAAGTATTATCAAATGAATCTTTACTATTGAAAAATAATGAAAGTACAACATATCTACCAGACATACATACTGATATTAGTTCAATAACAATTACGGAACCTTCAGCTGAATATGTTGATTTTTCTATAGGATCGGAAGAAAAACGTATAAACAAGTCTTTTGAAATACATTCTACTTACGATGATAACAAACACCTATCAGTTAACCTATTTGAGTCTTTGATTCCCTTAGACCCCGTTATTACATCTAACAATATCACTGAAAATGTTCAGTTCACCACAGATTATAAAATCTTGGCAGAAAAAGTAACAGAAGCTTCAGTTAAATTAAATGGCTATCTTGAAAATGACGATTTATCTGAGAAATACGATAATCCGTTGACTAACCTAACAGAATTTTTCTTTTCTATGCATAATGCAATAGAGAATGAATCGCAAGATCGTAACAAACTTTCGTATCATGCACAGGCAATTAAAACTTCACCCGTCCAAAATATAAATCCAATCGCCCAATTAGTTGATAAAAATCTATCAACAACTGAAAATGTTGTTGCTCTATCAATTATAAGTAAAAATCACGTGACATCAAATCCCAAACATTATAATAAAGACAGTTTTGAATATGCTACTATACCTGTTATTGTAGTACCTGATAATAATAGTGTGTTTGAAGTAAATTTTGACAAATCGCTCCAAACCGATGAATCTGGTAACAAAGAAAACTTAGACGATATCGAAAATTTAAATTTAGTTAATGGCTCTGTTGGTATAGTGTTAGAATCAAAAAATAAAATTCCGGTACATTTGACAGAAAAAAGTTCCGTTAAAATAATGGATAGCGTCACTTCCAATACTGAGTACACAAATATTGAACAGTTGGAATATATCACTGATCCGAGTTGGTTTAATTTAAACAAAAAATTGGGGACTACCAGTTCTAGCTCAGAAACGGTTAAAACCACTATCAACAGTGAAGTTACAGACAGAGATTATACCGTGACTATATTTAAAAATGGGGAAACTATTACAAGTAATAGAAATGATGAAACATCTAATTATATTACTGACAATAACGACAACACTGCTTTTATGACTGAAAAGCCAGATACTGCGACTGAAAACATTGAAACTGGTTTAGATGATAGAAATATAAATGAAGAAAACTCGTACGACACCACTGCAACGACGACCGCAATTATTGATTTTACAATGAAATCGGCATCAGTCATCTCTGTAGAAGATAAGAAAAAATATAATTTTGGAGAACATGCTGCAACTACAAATAAAGAAACGCCGGAAACGACTGGAGACGGAAATAAAATTAATTCTTCAGAACAAATGAGTACCCAAAAAATAGGTAATGATTATGTGGACGGGCCAGAATCATTAATATATGCACCGTTGTCACTTAAAAAAGTAGAACCTCTAGTGGCCGATAGAGAATCAACCCAGATCATTGAATTAGTCTCCACTACGGAAATATATACTGCGGGAGAAAATTTCGATAAAGTCCTAGAAATTTATACTCCAGAACCAATATTTCCGACGAATATGCAGCCTCCATTGAAAAATTTAAGAGGAAAACCGAAAAATGATGTAGCTTTGGCCGAAGAAGTAATAACAATGAATAAAAATGACGTTCAAGCTTCAGATTTTCATACATCAACTCCAACGGTACATTTAAATGTGGAACCGTTAGTGTATACGAAAGGAAAACATTTAAACAAATTAAAAGTAACTGCTACAACTGCACCAATAGAACCAATGAATTCAAAATACCTTATGTCCCGTGAAGAAGAAACAAATGACGTTGATAAAACGATAACAAATATAACTCAAGATACAAGAGGAAGCCAAGTAAATGCCTCAGTTACTCATGAACTACTGGTTCATAAAGAGCTTGGTCAAATA